TCAGGCTGGTCTCAAACTCCCAACCTCAGGTGATCTGTCCACCTCGGCCTTCCAAAGTGCTGGGATTACAGGCATGAACCACCATGCCTGGGTAATTTTTAATTTTTTTTTTATTTTTTGTGATGGAGTCTCACTCTGTCGCCAGGCTGGAGTGCAGTGGTGCAATCTCAACTCACTGCAGCCTCCGCCTCTGGGGTTCAAGTGATTCTCCTGCCTCAGCCTCCCAAGTAACTGACTACAGGCATGTGCCATTATGCCCAGCTAATTTTTGTATTTTTAGTAGAGATTTTCACGATATTGGCCAGGATGGTCTTGATCTCTTGACTTCATGATCCACCCACCTGGCCTCCCAAAATGCTGGGATTACAGGCATGAGCCACTGCACTTGGCCAATTTTTAATTTTTTTTTTGTAGATATGAGGTCGTTCTGTGTTGCTCAGGGTGGTGTCAAACTCCTGGGCTCAAGGGATCCTCCTGCCTTGGCCTCCCAAAGTTGCTGAGATTAGGTATGAGTAACCTTGCCCAGCTGAGCAATTTAGATAACAAGGATGCATCTCTCATTGGAACAGGAATGAGAGGGAAGGACCAGTGTTCGTGGAAGAAGTTCTGGTGGTGGAAGGTTGAGGGAGGTTCCAAATGTTAGCCATTTTCTTGGAGTGAGAAGCTCATTTGCTGACACCTGAGGGGGACGATAGGGTTGGAATTAGGAGGTGAGCAAAAGTTTCAAAATAGTCAGTGAAGTATGGGGAGTTAACCAGAATGGTCCATGAGAGTAGAGGTTACTGCAGCTATTTCTGAGGTTGTCCCTTCCATTGATGTTAAATACCAAGTCAGAGCTTTTCAAACTCGGAGAAAGTTAAAAAAAAAAAAAATCAGATGAATAGAGTAATTTGTTCCTCTGACATAATCCCACTTGCTGTAGAAATTAACAAAGCTGGCCAGGCACAGTGGCTCATGCCGGTAATCCCCACATTTTGGGAGGCTGAGGTGGGTGGATCGCTTGAGACTAGGAGTTTGAGACCAGCCTGGCCAACATGGTTAAACTCTGTCTCTACTAAAAATACAAAAATTAGCTGGGTGTGGTGGCTCACGCCTGTAATTCCAGTACCTTGGGAGGCCAAGGCGGGCAGATTACCTGAGGTCAGGAGTTAAAGATCTTAGCCAACATGGTGAAACCCCATCTCTACTAAAAATCCAAAAGTTAGCTGGGCATGGTGGCACTTGTCCCAGCAACTCAGGAGGCTGAGGCATGAGAATCACTTGAGCTCGGGAGGCAGAGATTGCAGAGAGCTGTGATGGCACCACTGCACTAAGCCTGGGCAACAGAGCAAGACTCAGTCTCAAAAAAAAAAAAAAAAAAATTCAAAGTTCTTGACACCAAACTTGAGAAATTGCAAATAGATCTCTAATGTATGCATTCTAGATCCATGTGGGATGTCCTACTTATTGGAAAGATACATTTCACTTGGGCTCCTGATGCTTCCAATCCACCACCAGCTGTTACTGTGGCTTCAGCTTCTTCTACATGTATTTCTTCTGACCTGAACAAGGATGGAGTGACTGGTGACTGTGATAGTATAACATAAATATTGATAAGTTCTGTGTGTGAAAAATTATACCAACCCACCTCATGGTGAATTCCTTGCATTTACAGTCTTCACTGGAAAGCTGTGATTTATAGCATTACTGTAAAAACTGCTGAGCCAAGCATTTCAGTCTAACACTGGGACAGTGATCTACATATCAACGGAAAGTTCCCTTGGCTTTACAGAGCATTTAGAGTGAATTTTGTCTGGGCTCAAAGATAACTTACAGACCTAAATATGTTTACATATTAGATTTCAGAAAACTTTAACCAGTGTGACCGTGAGCACCTCCACCATGCCAGTACAGAATGACTGCAGAGCTCAGCCATGGGCAATCCCAATGCACAGAATGCTACACTTGACATTAGTTCTTTCCCTTGTTAAAACAAACAAAAAAACCCCCGAATACCAGCAAGCAAAAACATGCTGCTGTTTCTCCTACCTTCTTTTCTAGGAGATGGGGTCTTGCTCTGTTGCCCAGGCTGGGGTGCACTGGCATGGATCACCTCTCACTGCAGCCTCAGCCTCCCAGGCTCAGGTGATCCTCCCACCTCAGCCTCCTGGGTTAAGCTAGGACTACAGGCATGAGCCATCATACTTGGCTAATTTTTAAATTTTTTTTATTTTTTTTTTTAATTTCTGAAATAATTGCTTAAAATTTTTATTTTTTATAGACAGGGTCTGTTGCCCAGGCTGGTCTCAGACCCTTGGACTCGAGCAGTCCATCTGCTTTGGCCTCTCAAAGTGCTGGAATCACAGGAGTGAGCCACTGTGCCTGGCTTAATTTTCTTTTTTAAACTTTTAAAGACACAAGATCTTGCTATTTGCCCTGAATGGTCTCAAATTCCTGGCCTCCAGTGACCTCCTGTCTCACCCTCCCAAGTAGCTGGGATTACAGTTGTGATGTTCTGCATCCAGCTGTTTCTTTTTTTTTTTTTTTTTTTTGAGATGGAGTTTTGCCCTTGTTGCCCAGGCTGGAGTGCGATGGAGTGATCTTGAAACCTCTGCTCACTGCAACCTCTGCTTCCCGGGTTCAAGCAGTTCTCCTGGCTCAGCCTCCCTCGTAGCTGGGATTACAGGTGCCCGCCACCATGCCAAGCTAACTTTTTGCATTTTTAGTAGAGATGGGGTTTCACTATGTTGGCCAGGCTGGTTTTGATCTCCTGGCCTCAGGTGATCCACCCGCCTCAGCCTCCCAAAGTGCTGGGATTACAGGTGTGAGCCACTGTGCCTGGCTCCTTCTTATACTTATTAATAATATGAAAACTTCATAATTAAGTTCCATTAATGTGAAAAATACATCAACAGTTAGTTCTTATGCATATAGCCAATGAATGCCACTCAAGAAAAATAATAAAATGGTTTATAGGTAATGAATATATCCAGAATTTTCCATGGGGCCAAAAATTCCTTTTTCCAAGTTTCTCTGTTCTAGAGCAGTTTTTTTTTTTTCAGATGGAGTCTTACTCTGTCGGTCCAGGCTGGAGTGTGCAGTGGTGCAATCTCGGCTCACTGCAAGCTCTGCCTCCCGGTTTCAAGCAATTCTCCTGCTTTAGCCTCCCGAGTAGCTGGGATTACAGGCATGCACTACCACATCCTGCTGATTTTTATATTTTTAGTAGAGAAGGGGTTTTACCATGTTGGCCAGGCTGGTCTCGAACTCCTGACCTGAGGTGATCCACCCACCTCAGCTTTCCAAAGTTCTAGGATTATAGGCATGAGCCACTGCGCCTGCTTTTTTTTTTTTTTTTTTTTGAGTCAGGGTCTTGATCTGTTACCCAGGCTGGCATGCAGTGGCACAATCATAACTCACTGTAGCCTTGAACTGCTGGGCTCAGGCAATCCTCCTACCTCAGCCTCCCTAGTAGCTGGGACTACAGGCATGTACTATCATGCCTGGCTTTTTAAAAAAAATTATTTTGTGGAGACAGGTCTCCTTTGTTACCTAGGCTGGTCTTGAACTCTTAAGCTCAAGCCGTCCTCCCTTCTCAGCCTTCCAAAATGCTGGGATTACAGGCATGAGTCAACTTGGCCAGCTATCATATCATATACAGGTACTTACTAAACACAGTAAAAGAATCCCTGGGGACCAAAGCTAAGCAAGCTCAATGCAGATTTACATCACTGTTGGCTCTAGGCTACACAAGGTCTCAGAGGCAGCTATGGTCTTGGGAGCTAGGTGAATGGAATGGAATGGAAGGAATAAGGAAGAAATATGAGCTATAGTAGCACTGGGGTGAACTCCAGAACCATCCACGACAGTGGGACTTACCTTTTTTTTTGAGACGGAGTTTTGCTCTTGTTACCCAGGCTGGAGTGCAATGGTGCAATCTCGGCTCACCGCAACCTCCGCCTCCTGGGTTCAGGCAATTCTCCTGGGTTCAGGCAATTCTCCTGCCTCGGCCTCCTGAGTAGCTGGGATTACAGGCACGCGCCACCATGCCCAGCTAATTTTTTGTATTTTTAGTAGAGACGGGGTTTCACCATGTTGACCAGGATGGTCTCGATCTCTTGACCTCGTGATCCACCCGCCTCGCCCTCCCAAAGTTCTGGGATTACAGGCGTAAGCCACCGCGCCCGGCCTGGGATTTACCTTTTTAAAAGACATATACTCTTTGTGAGTCTCCCCAGGAAAATACATGTAAACTCAAACTACTGCATATATAATTCATAGACTCCATGAAACCCATCCAGTGACTTCTTAGAGGTCCAAAACCCCTAATTAAGAACTGTTGGCTAGGCACAGTGGCTCACGCCTGTAATCCCAGCACTTTGGGCAGCTGAGGCAGGTGGATCACTTGAGGTCAGGAGTTCAAGACCAGCCTGGCCAACATAGTAGAAACCCTGTGTCCACTAAAAATACAAGAAATTGCTGGGCACGGTGGCTCACGCCTGTAATCCTAACACTTTGGGAGGCCAAGATGGGTGGATCACCTGAGGCCAGGAGTTCAAGACCAGCCTGGCCATCATGGTGAAACCCCATCTTAAAAATAAAAAAACAAAAAATACAAGAAATTAGCTGGGCATGGTGGTGGGCCCCTGTAGTCCTAGGTACTCGGGAGGCTGAGGCAGGAGAATCACTTGAACTTAGGAGGCAGAGGTTGCAGTGAGTAGAGATTGCACCACGGCACTCCAGCCTGGGCAAAAGTGAGACTCTGTCTCCAAAAAAAGGAACTGTTGACCTATACTTCTACCAGATTCTCATTCCTCCTGCTGTCAAAGAGTCTACAGCACCCCCCCATTCCCACTTTCCTTCTCAGACTTGAGGCTACACCAGTAGAGAGGTTGTATGTGCTGTGAGAAGAAGGTGCGGGTCTCATCTGCCTGTGGCCTACTGAAGAGTCTTACACTTCTTTAATTATTGCCCTTGGTTTTAGTTATTTCAGGGTTGGTCCACAGGTCTCAGGGAAGGAGAAAAAAGTATAAAAATTTCTTTTCTCCTTACAAGAATTCCAAGATGTGTCAGAGTTAACCAGAAGCATAGAGAAGACTTTACATAGTCAAGTAACCACCCTAGGAATGTGGCAGAATTGGCAGTCTGTTGGTCTCTGGATTGTCAGATTAAAGAAACTGGAGGCTGACACTGGCCCCTTCCTTTCCCAGGAGACAGATCTGGCCTAAATACAGAGATGCCTAAAAGGAAGACCTAGGATTGCAATAGTTCTTAGCATATAAAACTCTTCTTTCAGGTCTTAGAGCAAGTGGACACTCTGTACCAAAGCCAAAGAATTGAAGAGTACTCCTCTTGGCTGGGGTTTCATATTGCTCTTGCAAAATTCAGTTTCCTCTCATCTTTTCTGTCATTCTGTGGGTACCAACAGCCTTGGCCAGGTGTAAGTAGTGTCCATTACTACTGTTTGCTCTGACTGTCTTGCACAAAGATGTCAAGTAAGGCTGAGGCAAAGGTCTTGGTGATACTTTTGCCTTGGACAGATAAACAGTAGCAGTGCAGCTGTCCCTCTGCACCCATTTGTATTCCAAAGGTAGTAAACACTGGTAGTAAACAGCTGTTCAGAAGCCCTTTATAATAAAGATGTCAAATATCTGAAATCACTTCCCAGCTCTGACAAAACTTGCCTTCTGGGTATGGAGACAAAGCAAGAATTTGTGATTACTGCTGACCACGTCTAGAACTGCCTTGAAGCTGGCCATTAGAGACTTGAAGCCACAATTTTCACTAAACCTCAGATCACATTTGCTTGGGGCTACTGTGGAGTAAGATGATATTAAGGACACAAAAAGGATGTTGCAAATGCTCATGAGATCAGGTTTTGTGGCAAGCTAGGGCCACCAGTAATTCTCCACGATGACTTCTCCACAGGACTTGCTTAAGCACAGGCACAGGACCCACCACTAATCAGATGCGCACTCTACACAGACTGTACCCACCGAGAACAGGCCACAGTCCTGTGGCACAAACCCATATACAAAGGTCTGAGAGGTTGGCATTTTGGTCCATGCTTATTTAACAAATCCCGTTCTGCTGTGGACGTTAGGATGGGGGCCTGGCAATATGCAGCTGAGCTGTCCCACCCCAGGTCCAAAGCAGCAGCTCTCAGGCCTCCTCTGCTGCCTCATGCCAAACATGATGGCTGGGCTTACACACCTATTCTATTGGAGGCCTCTCTCTGTGTTCCCTTTTCACCACTATTCCCTTACTTCCACAGGAGCTGGAGGCTGGCCCACCCACTCCAAAGCAGAGAACAAGCACAGGCTGCCACAGGAGATCGTGGGTAAGAAATCAGCCACAGCATCTAGAGTAGCATGAAGGAAACGCTGGCTAAATTAAAAGGTGAAACTTCCAAAAGGTAAATCTCTGTGTATTCATGCCTAATCTTCCAATATTGTGTAAATAATTTTTTCTACCATCCCCCATCATTTGTACACATTTTTGTCAAGTCCAAACATAATTTGAAGTGAGGTAGGTAGTTTCTCTCTCCTCGTGCCGCTGACCTTGGGGTGATGTCGGGGCCTGTGCCCTGAAGGCACTTGTCTCCCGTGCTGGGGCAGTGCCAGGGCTGGCACCAGTGGATGATGGAGCTTCTCAGTTGGCTATTTTCTCGATCTCGTCCAAATCATCCGTGTCCAATCTTTCTATCTTCTTATCTGGGGGAAAAAAACAGAGGTCTTTACCCTGCCCTGAGAATGTCCCCTACCTTGGGCCATAGCAATCATTCATTCAGCCCCAAAGGCTCCTGGTGCCTGGGCAGGGAGCAGCAGGTCCCCTACTTACTGACAGAACAGTCAGAGCCCCAGGTTCCCAAGCCTACTCATAGGAGAACTGTTCTTGGGGTCCCTGGGTCCTGAAGTCTCCAGGTGTGCTCTCTGAGAACTTCCGTGTGGTCAGAAAGGAGGTGGGGGTGCCAGGGACAAAGGCTCTCTTGGAGCTACAGAAGATCCTACCCCTTTCCCCACCCTGCCCCCCTTAGGAAAGGGTGCCAGGCACAGGACCCGCCCCTGGACTCACTAAAATGCTCCTGGATTCTGTTCAGAATGTTCATGCTGTGCTTGCTGTCCACCATGTTCACTGCCAGGCCCCTCTTGCCAAAGCGGCCCGTGCGCCCGATCCGGTGTAGGTAGGTCTCGTTGTCAGGGTTCCCGTCCTTGTCCACAGGAAGATCAAAGTTGATAACGACAGACACTTGTTCAACATCGATCCCTGCAGGAAGCAGAGTTGGAGGCTGAGAGGACTAAGGACAGAAGACAAATCAGTCATGTGGTCCATCCATACAATGGAGCATGACTCAGTATTAAGGAACTGCAGCACTAACAGATACATGCTGTTGAGTGCAGGAAGCCAGATCTGTTTGGGCTCTGTGAGATTTAGATGATGCCCAATAAAGGCACAACTACAGGCACAGAAACCAAACTAGCAGGGGCCAGGAAGTGGGGTGCAGGGAGAGGTGATGAGTCCCTGAGAGTTGGAGAGAAGTAAGGACAGGAGACAAAAATCACTGTTGTCCACATGTAAGTCAATGCATATCAACTTTGGGTAGAGGGAAAGAATTTAGGGGCTGCACGCAGTGGCTCACACCTGTAATCCCAGCTTTTTGGGAGACCAAGGCAGGCAGATCACCTGAGGTCAGGAGCGCAAGAACAGCCTGGCCAACACTGCAAAACCCCATCTTTACTAAAAATACAAAAATCAGCCAGGAGTGGTGGTGGGCACCTGTAATCCCAGGCTGAAGCAGGAGAATCGCTTGAACACGGGAGGTGGAGGTTGCACTGAGCCGAGATTGTGCCACTGCACTACAGTCTGGGTGACGGAGTGAGACTTGGTCTCAAAAAAAAAATATTGGGACAGGCCAACTCTGGGAATTGGGTACAAGAGAGGGCACATACAGGCAGGGAGCAGAACCTGGAGGAAAAGAATAGACCTTTGACAGGTGCCAACGAAATTATGAAATCCGTCAGTAAGCCTCTGGGAGACACAATGTTCTGGAGATGGGTAACCCTGGAAGAGCAGGCTCCGTTCTCTACTGGTCAGATGCCTGTATATTTTCTTCCACCAAGTCAGGACACCTGGCTTCTTTGGGAGTTCTTATCACCTGAGGGAAATGCAAACACTCTCTCCTAGAAAGGAATATCATCACCAACCCCACCTGTCTCTCTGAGACTATCAGACTTTCCTGTATACAAGGATTTCTGGCTCTAACTGGGCCTGGGACCCCGAGCCTGGCAGACCAGGTGGGACACATCCTCTGCTCACCGCGGGCACACACGTTGGTGGTCACCAGAACCTTCTCTTTGCCCTCTCGGAAGCGCTCAATCACCGCAGCCCTCTGCTCCACCATCATCTCCCCACTCAGCAGAGCCACCTGGTGGCCTTCTTTTGAGAGCTCTGCTGCCAGCCAGCTAGCTGTTTTGCGAGTCTGGAGTGAAAAGAATTGTTTTATATGAAGAAACCTTTTAAAAATAAAATGAAGACAACTGCAAAAAAGTGGCTTGCCACTATTAAAATATATGAAGGCCCAGCTAAATCCAGTTAGCAGGTTAGGCTTTGAATTCCTCAATGAAGTGTGGTGGTACACACCTGCAGTCCAGGCTACCCACTTAAGCCCAGGAAGGAGTTCAAGGCTGGCCTGGGCAACACAGGAAGAACCCATCTCAAAAAAAATAAATTTTGTTTCAAATAGAATTTTAGTCATCTGATTCCTTTCTTTTCAAATAAGTGATGTAACTGCTGTTAGTTTTTTATCTAGGAAGAGTGTGGTTTTAGCCAAAGGTCTTCATTCCTAAATACTCTATATTCTTGGCAGATATGGTAGCTCATGCCTGTAGTTCCAGTGCTTTGGGAGGCTGAGGCTGGAAGATCACTTGAGGCCAGGAGTTTGAGACCAGCCTGGACAACACAGCAAGACCCCATCTCTACAAAAATAAAAATAATTAGCCTGACACACATAGGGCACACACCTGTAGCCCTAGTAACAAGAGCCGAGGCTGCGGTGAGTTATGATCATGCCACTGTATTTTGGCCTGAATGATAAAGCAAGACCCTATCTCTTAAAAAAAAAAAAAAATCATTATGTTTTGTTTTTTTCTTTTGAGACACAGTCTTGCTCTGTCACTAGGCGCCAGGCTGGAGTGCAGTGGCGTGATCTTGGCTCACTGAAACCTCTGCCTCCAGGGTTCAAGCAATTCTCCTGCCTCAGCCTCCCAAGTAGCTGGGACTACAGGTACACACTACCATGCCCAGCTAATTTTTGTATTTTAGTAGAGACTGGGTTTCACCATGTTGGCCAGGATGGTCTCGATCTCTTAACCTTGTGATCTGCCTGCCTTGGCCTCCCAAAGTGCTAGGATTACAGGCATGAGCCACCACACCCGGCCACCCATATGTATTTTTAAATTTTATATTTTTGAGACAGGATCTCATTCTGTTGCCCATTCTGGAGTGCAGTGGCACACACAGCTCACTGCAGTCTCCACTTCCTGGGCTCAATCAATCCTCCCACCTGAGACTCCCAAGCAGCTGGGACCACAGGCACGCATTCCATGCCTGGCTAATTTTTAAAAATTTTTGTAGAGATGGATCGTACTATGCTGTGCAAGCTGGTCTTGAACTCCTGGGCTCAATAAGATCCTCAGGCCTCAGTCTCCCAAAGGGCTGGGATTACAGGCATGAGCCACCGAGCCCAGCTAAATATATATTTTTAATGATGAGGTCTTACTATGTTGCCCATGCCAGCTTGAACTCCTGGGGTCAAGCAATCCTCCCACCTCAGCCTCTTGGGCGGTAGGCCTATAGCTACTTGCCCAGCTTATATTCTTTTTTTTTTGTTTTGAGACGGAGTTTCTCTGTTACTCAGGCTGGAGTGCAATGGTGCAATCTTGGCTCACTGCAACCTCCACCTCCAGGGTTCAAGTGATTCTCCTGATTCAGCCTCTAGAGTAGCTGTCATTACAGGTGCGCACCACCATGCTCGACTAATGTTTTGTATTTTTAGTAGAGACGGGGTTTCACCATGTTGGCTAGGCTGGTCTTGATCTCCTAACCTCAGGTGATCTACCTGCCTTGGACTCCCAAAGTGCTGGGATTATAGATGTGAGGCACCTTGCCCGGCCGCCCAGCTTATATTCTTAAAATCTAAAAATCAAGCTGGGTGCAGTGGCTCACACCTATAATCCCAGCACTTTGGGAGGCTGAGGCAGGTGGATCACGAGGTCAAGAGATCGAGGCCTTACTGGTCAACATGGTGAAACCCCGTCTCTACTAAAAATACAGAAAATTAGCTGGGCATGGTGGCGCGTGCCTGTAATCCCAGCTACTCAGGAGGCTGAGGCAGGAGAATTGTCTGAACCCAGGAGGCGAAGGTTGCAGTGAGCCAAGATCGCGCCATTGCATTCCAGCCTGGGTAACAAGAGTGAAACTCCCTCTCAAAAAAAAAAAAAAAAATCTAAAAATTATTTCACTAACTGTTACTTGGGGTTTTTTTTCCCAAGTAATCACTAAGAAGTGGAATCAAAGTCTTAAGAGAACAAACCACTTCCTTTCTTCCCATGGCACCCAGGTGCATCCAATCCTCCTGAGCCCTGCTGGGAGCTGGCTGAGAGGGAGGGGCCAGGCCTGCTGATGCTACTCACATGGCAGAAGATCATGGCTTGAGCAATGGTGATGGCCCCGTAGAGGTTACACAGGGCCTGGAACTTCTCGTCTCTGCTGCTGCACAGGACATAGTACTGTTTGATGGTGTCCAGGGTCTCTTCCTCGCGCTTCAGTTTGATAACGTTTGGGTCTGGGACCACTTTCTGGGCAAACTTCCACACAGAGTCTTCAAAGGTGGCGGAGAAAAGCAGCATCTGGCAGTTCCTGGGCAGCATCCTGCAAGGGAAGGCCCTGGCATGTGGCCCCAGGTGTCCCCGGAAAGCAACAGAAGCACAGCCTCCCCAGCTGGGAGGGTCTAGGTGCCCAGGAAAGCTGACGGGGGAGAAGCATCTCAGGGAGGAGGAGCAGCAGGCCTGGGTTGGGGGTAGGGGTGGGGAAGAGTCCCTAGATCTCCTTTCTCAACCCAGGCTTGGAGGGACTGTGGTTGGTGCTGACATGGAAATGGCCCGTCAAACAAATGCTGCTGAGAATACCAGAGCCAAGACCCAGGCAGAAGCCAGAGGAGGCGTCTGAAGTAAAGGGAGAAGATGCTGCAGAAGAGGAGGCTGAGAAGTCCTCTGCCCTCGAGATCCCTACCTCTGGATGCGGATGCTCTGATCCTGGTGGCCCTGAGTGGCTATCATGACGTCAGCCTCATCCAGAACAAACACCTTGATTTTCTTGGGATCAATGAACTTGAGCTTGGAGCACCAGTCCAGCACGGTCCCAGGGGTACCAATGACAATCTGCTCACTGATCTTCTGGCCTCTTTCCACTGTGGAGACCCAGGTGACTTTCATGGGTATTTCAAAGGCAAAGCCCGCTCTGGAAATCAAAGCCCTGCCCATCCTTCTAGGACTAGGAGAACAAGTTATTTCCAGATCTCAAAACACACATGAGTGTCTCCTTCAGCCTCGGTTTCTTCTGCTGTGAAGTGGCCAGATGACACCTATCTCAGTGCACTGTGTTCAGGATCCAATCCCACACAGCAAATCTTCAATAAGCATCAGTTCCCTTCTGTTTTCTCCTATCATTCAACATCATTCAACCCTTCATATTTATTTATTTGGAGACAGGGTGTCACTCTGTTGCCCAGACTAGAGTGCAGAGACACAGTCATGGCTCACTGCAGCTGTGTCAAACATCTCATGTACCCCATAAACATACATACCTACTATGTAACCACAAAAGTTCAAAAATTAGAAAAAAAATGCTGAAAAGACATAAATAGTAAGGATATAAACAATTAGAAGATGAAACTTCTTCAGTGACATTGTTCTCCTTCTCTATAATCATCCAATTCTCTCTGAAGTACCCGATCTTTATTTATTTTTATTTTTTTGCTAACAATGTTCTACCTAGACTAGAACACTTCCTCTTAGGTAGAGTCTTTCACAGTTCTTATCTTTCTAATACACTCTGCCCCCTCAGCTATCCGGTCATCTATTTCAAATATGTCGGTTGCTTTTACATTAGCAAGGCGTGGTGGTGCACGCCTGTAATCCCAGCTACTCAGGAAAGTGAGACACAAGGATCACTTAAGCCTAGGAGGCAGAGGTTGCAGTGAGCCAGGAGTGTGTCGCTGCACTTCAGCCTGGGCGATGAGGGAAACACTGTCTCAAAAAAAAAAAAAAAAGTATTAAGAATTATCTGCCCTTTTAACTTAAATCCAAATTGGAAAATTTTAAATGATTATCTTCTGATAAGTTTCATTATATTATTTACTTTTCAGAACTGGCTTCAAGTTGGCATTAGGACATTGTATGTAGACTTGACTTCTGCAAGTCATAAAGTCACATTTATTTCAGAGATCCATAAAACGCAACCAAACCTCTAACAACACTTTTTTTTTTCTTGAGAGAGAGTCTTACTCTGTCACCCAGACTGGAGTGCAGTGGTGTGATCCTGCTTCACTGTAACTCCCTCACAGGTTAAAGCGATTCTCCTGCCCCAGCCTCCTGAGTAGCTGGGATTACAGGTGTGTGCCACCGTGACTGGCTAATTTTTTTGTTTTTTTTTTTGAGACGGAGTTTCGCTCTTGTTACCCAGGCTGGAGTGCAATGGCGCGATCTCGGCTCACCGCAACCTCTGCTTCCTGGGTTCAGGCAATTCTCCTGCCTCAGCCTCCGGAGTAGCTGGGATTACAGGCACGCGCCACCATGCCCAGCTAATTTCTTGTATTTTTAGTAGAGACGGGGTTTCACCATGTTGACCAGGATGGTCTCGATCTCTTGACCTCGTGATCTACCCGCCTGGCCTCCCAAAGTGCTGGGATTACAGGCTTGAGCCACCGCGCCCGGCCCATTTTTTGGTATTTTTAGTAGAGACAGCGTTTTTCCATGTTCATCAGGCTTGTCTCAAACTCCTGACCTTCAAACGAGCCACTCGCCTAGGCTTCACAAAGTTCTGAGACTACAGGTGTGAGCCACCATGCCTGGGCAACAACACTTTTAAAATTACTTAAATAATATTAGTTGTGCGCCCCGCCTGGCTGCGTCCCGGCCGGACCTGTGGAGCTGGGCTTCGCCGAGTTGGCACCGGCGTGGCGACTGCACAGCGAGCAGTTCCCCATCAAGGTAGGCGGGCGGCTGGCGTGGCTGGGCGTGTCCAGGCTGCCGGGCACGGGGCCCTGGCCTGCGCGCCTTGTGGTCGCCCGCTTTCCTTCCTGCTGCAGGCGTATGAGCCGCTGCCCGGCCGCGCCGACGCCTTCCACCGCGGCATCTTCCTTTCCTGCTGACGCAAGCCACCATACTGTGCCGGCCTGCGAGTTTTTAGGAATCAGCTACCCAGAAAAAATGATTTTTATTCATATGAGTCACCTTCTGAGAATCCTCCCCCGGAAACCGAATCAGTGTGTCTCCAACTTAAGTCTGGTGCTCATCTATGCAGGGTTTGTGGCTGTTTAGGCCCCAAAACGTGCTCCAGATGCCACAAAGTGTATTACTGCAGCAAGGAGCATCAGACCCTAGACTGGAGACTGGGACATAAGCAGATCGTTTGGACCATATAATTCGAGACCACAACTTCCTTTTTCCAGAATTTGAAGTTGTAAAAGAAACAGAAGATGAAATATTGTCTGAGGTTGTGGAAAGGAAGATTACTCAGAGATTATAGGGAGCATGGGTGAAGCACTTGAGGAAGAACTGGATTCCATGGCAAAACATGAATCCAGGGAAGGCAAAATTTTTCAGAAGTTTAAAACTCAGATAGCCCTTGAACCAGAACAGATTCTCAGATATGGCAGAGGTATTGCCCCCATCTGGATTTCTGGTGAAAATATTCCTCAAGAAAAGGATATTCCAGATTGCCCCTGTGGTGCCAAGAGAATATTTGAATTCCAGGTCATGCCTCAGGTCCTAAACTACCTGGAGGCTGACAGACTGGGCAAGAGCATTGACTGGGGCATCCTGGCTGTCTTCACCTGTGCTGAGAGCTGCAGCTTGGGTATTGGCTATACAGAAGAATTTGTGTGGAAGCAGGATGTAACAAATACACCGTAAGGGCATCTTAAAGCCTTCAGATAGGTTAATCATCTTTTACACCTTGCAATTCCATTTCTGGGACTTTATCCTAAGGAAATACTTATACCAAAAATAGAGGTGCAGAGATGTTGAGACATTGCTTACACAGTGTCTATGTATTAGTGAAACAAAAGTGTCCAGTGACAGAGAATTAAATAAATTGTGGTACATCCACATTGGAAGGCTACAGAAACTTATTTATACACACATATTGACAACCGAGACACCATTATAGGTGGTATTTATGGTATGACCCTATTGTAAAAATATTTGTACATGTATGTGTGCATAGAAATAAATCTGCAAAGATGTACAAAAAAATAATAATATTAGTTGTAAAACAAACTAGTGTAGAATTTTTTTTTTTTTTAAGAGACATAGTTTCACTATGTTGTCCAGGATGGTCTCCATCTCCTGACCTTGTGATCCACCTGCCTTGACCTCCCAAAGTGCTGGGATTACAGGCGTCAGCCACCACACCGCCCTACAAAAAAATATTTTTGGAAAATTAGCTGGGTACGGCCGGGCACAGAGGCTCATGCCTGTAATCCTAGCACTTTGGGAGGCCAAGATGGGCTGATCACTTGAGGTTAGGAGTTCAAGACCGGCCTGGCCAACATGGCAAAACCCTGTCTCTACTAAAAATACAAAAATTAGTCAGGCATGGTGGTGGTGTCTATAATCCCAGCTACCTGGGAGGCTGAGGCAGGAGAACTGCTTAAACCCGGGAGGTGGAGGCTGCAGTGAGCCAAGATTGCACCACTGTACTCCAGCCTGGGTGATAGAGGGAGACTCTATCTAAAAAAAAAAAAATTAAAAAAAATTAACTGGGTGCAGTGATGTCCATCTGTCGTCCTAGCTATTAGGGAGGCCCACGTGAGACAACTGCTTGAGACCAGGAGTTTTAGGCTACACTGAGCTATGATCACACAACACTGCACTCCAGCCTGGGCAACAGAGCAAGACCCTGTTTCCAAAATAAATAAAGGTAAACACATCTAGAATGTAGACTCTTTGAAAAGCAACTGGTCTGGTCTTGCAAAATGTTAAATGTAATAGGGAGAGAAAAATGTAGGAGGACAATTCTAGCTAGATGGAAAGAAACAAAGTACAACAACCAAATGCAATGTCTAAACACTGAAAGCTGACTTGATCTTGGTTCAAAAACCAAACAGCCATAAAGGAACACTTCGGGGACACCTGGGGAGGAATAAAAATTGACTGGATATTAGTTATTCTAGGAAATCAATTTTCCTGGTTGTGATAAGGGTAACCACAGGTATGCCAAAGAATGTCTCATGAGATGCATATCTGCAGTTTACTTACAAATGGTTTGATAAAAATGTATACATGTGTATATATAAAGCAAATATGGCAAAACGTTAAGTTTTTGAATCTAGGTGGAGAAAATACATGTGTTTATTGTATTATTTTAGCAATTGGGTATGTTTTAAAACATTTCAGAATAAAAAGAATTAGGTTAATGATTTAGGATCACATTCACATACTCACATTTATTGCCTCGAACAGCATAAGCTAGCTTCAGTGCAGGGTAAAATTTGCCCATTTGTTCAATCACTTTTCCTGTTTGGAGGGCAAGCTCGTATGTTGGGGAGAGGCATAGACACTGGTAGGGAAAGAGTGCAGAGTGCAAATTCAAGACAATAGCTCTTTTGCAAAGGGGAATTACCATTAGGACTCAGCCACTCCTCCAGCTGAAGCTGAAGGAAAGAATTAAGCTGGGCGCGGTGGCTCATGCCTATAATCCCAGCACTTTGGGAGGCTGAGGTGGGTGGATCACGAGGTCAACAGATTGAGACCATCCTGGTCAACAAGGTGAAACCCCGTCTCTACTAAAAATACAAAAATTAGCTGGGCATGGTGGTGTGCACCTGTAGTCCCAGCTAATCGGGAGGCTGAGACAGGAGAATTGCTTGAACCCAGGAGGCGGAGGTTGTGGTGAGCCGAGATTGTGCCATTGCACTCCAGCCTGGGTAACAAGAGCGAAACTCCGTCTCAAAAAAAAAAAAAAAAAAAAAAAAGTTATTCATAGCCTGGCTTCTATTTTTTTGAGACAGAGTTTCGATCTTTTGGCCCAGGCTGGAGTGCAATGGTGTGATCTCAGCTCACTGCAACCAATGCCTCTCAGGTTCAAGTGATTCTCTTGCCTCAGCCTCCATGTCTGGCTAATTGTTTATTTTTAATACAGACAGGTTTTCACCATGTTGGTCAGGCTGGTCTAAGACTCCTGACCTCAGGTGATCCACCCTCCTCGGCCTCCCAAAGTGCTGGGATTACAGGCATGAGCCACTGTGCCTGGCCCATAGCTTGGCTTTTAATCCATCGAATGGAAATCCCCTTCTATCTATGCCTTAGTAGAAAACCTAAATTCCCAAGTCCTTACCTGGGGGTATTTGTTTGCAGGTTCTACTTGGCTAAGCATGGCCAGCACAAAGGCAGCTGTTTTGCCAGTACCAGACTGAGATTGGGCAATTAAGTTCTGTGGGCTGAACGAGAAACAAACTGGTTACGAGCTTAAATCTCAAGTCAACTTTTAATTAATAAAGTTTAAAAAAATCAGTATTAAAAATTCATGTATAGAAAGAGACCTTGGATGATAGTGTAGCAGTTACATACGCCAGCTTCACAAGAACAAAGCACTATAGAAAGAAGGTTTTCTGGTGAGATTTGAGGCACTCCACATCTTTTTTTTTTTTCTTTTGAAATGAGATCTCACTCTGTTGACCAGGCTGGAATGCAGTGCAGCCTGGTCCACTTGGCCCATTGCAGCCTCGACCTCCTGGGCTCAAGTGATCCTCCTGTTTCAGCCTCCCAAAGTGCTGGGATTATAGGTGTTAGCCACTGCAGTGGGTCCACTGATTCTTTTAAAATGTGTCAGCTCACATTACTTCTCTACTCAAAAACCTTCCAATCATTCCTCATTTCATTCAAAGTGCAAGTTGAAAGCTTCATAATACCATACAGGGTCCTGCATGATCTGCTCCCCATTACACCTCAGCTCTCATTTCTTACTACTCTCTCTCCCTTACTTCGCTCCAGCACACAGCCCCAGTGCTGCTCAGGGAACAGGCCAGCCATGCTCTTTCTTAGGACTTGTGCATTGGCTGTATTCTGCTTGGGACAACTGTCCCCAGGTAACATACTAATTCTTTTCTCTCGATCGAGTCTTTGCCTAGCTATCACCTACTTCAGGAGATCTTACCTTAACCACTTGATTTAAAAGTGTAATCTACCTTGAAATGCCTAAAAAAAACAAGATGTAGGTTTTGGTGGCAGGGTAGGGAGCAACAGTGGCAAGAACCAAGTCTTGCCTTGAAGGTGGCAAGCAGCAGCCTCTGAAGAGGCAGGTAAGGCTGGGCATGGTGGCATACACCTGTAATCCCAGCACTTTGGGAGGCCAAGGTGGGTGGATCACTTGAGGTCAGGAGTTTGAGACCAGTGTGGCCAACATGGTGAAACGCTGCCACTCCTAAAAATACATAAAACTAGCTGGGCGTGGTGGCAGGTACCTGTAGTCCCAGCTATTTGGGAGGCTGAGGCAGGAGAATCACTTGAACCTGGGAGATGGAGGTTACAGTGAGCCGAGATCACACCACTGCACTCCAGCCTAGGTGCAGTGGCTCATGCCTACAATCTCAGCACTTTGGGAGGTTTAGGTGGGTGGATTTCTTCAGCCGAGGAATTCGAGACCAGATGGGAAAAATATTGAAACCCTGTCTCTACAAAAGATACAAACATTAGCTGGACATGGTGGTACATACCTGTAGTCCCAGCTACTTGGGAGTCTGAGGTGTGAGGATCCCTTGAGCCCAGGAGGTAGAGGGTGGAAGTTGCAGTCTGCAGTGAGCTGAGACTGTGCCACTGCACTCCAACCCCAGTGACAGAGCAAGACCCTGTCTCAAAAAAAGAAAAAAAAAAAAAAGCAGCAGCAGCAGGCCAAAGAGATGGACAAGGAAAATTAGGTCTTCCAGCAGAATTAAAAAAAAAAAAAATAATAACAGAACAGAAAAATCTTGAACTAAAAGTGAAGCCATGGGGGAAAACCCCCAGCCACAAGTGGAATTTTAAAATCTGACAAAAATAAGCTGTTCCTTGTGCCTGAGGTGATGGTGACTCTTTTTTGTTTGTTTGTTTGTTTGGAGACATGGTCTCACTCTGTCGCCCAGGCTGGAGTGCAGTGGCATGATCTCAGTTCACTGCAACCGCCACCTCCCGGCTTTCAAGCAATTCTCGTGCCTCAGCCTCCTGAGTAGTGGGACTACAGGCATGCACCACAGTGCCTGACTTTTTTTGTTTGTTTGTTTGTTTGTAGAAATGGGTTTCGCCATGTTGGCCAGGCTGGTCTCGAACTCCTGACCTCAAGTGATCTGCTTGCTTTAGCCTCCCAGAGTGCAGGGATTACAGGTGTGAGCCACTGCATCTGGCCACCACAGTGGTAACTCTTGATTCTATTTCTGTTTAAACATCTAGATCCCCTGGCTCTCAGTGCTTATATAGGTTGGGGAAAAAAAAAGAGAAAAGGAAGAAAAATAGATTCCCTTACTTGGCATATTCTCCGAAAAAAGTAAAAAAAAAAAAGAAAGAAAGAAAGAAAAATAGATTCCCTGTCAAAATACCTGTTGCCCTTTGTAGTTAGAATAAAGTGTTGTACATTTAATTTCTTTTTTATTTTTGTCTTTTAATACAGATGAGGTCTTACAGTGCTGCCCAGGCTGGTCTCAAACTCCTGGGCTCAAGCCATCTGCCTGTCTTGGCCTCCCAAATTGCTGGGATAACAGGCATAAGCCACCATGCCTGGCCCAAATTTATTATAATTATAATAATTTTTTTTATGAGACAGTTTCACTCTGTTGCCCAGGCTAGAGTCCAGTGGTGTGATCTTGGCTCACTGCAACCTCCACCTCCCAGGTTCAAGCAATTCTCGTCTCAGCCTCCCGAGTAGCTGGGACTACAAGTGCCTGCCACCATACCTGGCTAGTTTTTGTATTTTTAGTAGAGTGGTGTTTCACCATGTTGGCCAGGCTGGTCTTGAACTCCTGACCTCAAGTGATCTGCCTGCCCTGGCCTCTCAAAATGTGGGGATTACAGGTGTCAGCCTCTGCACCCAGCCAAAATTTATTATTTTTAATTGAAGTAAAAAATATATAACATTTGCCCTTTTACCCACTTTTAAGTATACTATTCAGTAGCATTAACATTTGTAATTTATTACCTGTTATATTTTAATAAAAATGAATTATCTACATTTCAAACTAGAATGTAAGCTCCTGTGGGCATGAATTTTGGTCTGTTTTGTATATAAGTGCCTCACATAGTATCTGTTACATACCAGGCACTATAAATATTTGTTAATGATGAAGGGTACTAGATAATTCTAGTGATAATGCTGGTCTCTTCTAATATTTTCAATCTAAAAATGGAAAATCTAAAATGAAATGGATTGTAACAGGACACATACGGCTCAGCGAGCATCAGTGGCAATGCGTTCTCTTGTATCTTGGATGGACGATTGAAACCCATGGCATAGACTCCTTGGAGAAGCTGTGGTTTCCTAGAATAACAGTTAAAGATGAAAGTCACAGTCTCTTTGGTTGAGGAAAGCAGCAAAATATCTGCAGGATTTTTCTCTTTTATTGTTTACACATAGATTTTTTTTGTTTTTCAGACAAAGTCTTGCTCTATTGCCCAGGCTGCAGTGCAGTGGTGCAATCTCGGCTCACTGCAACCTCTGCCTCCCAGGTTCAAGCAGTTCTTGTGCCTCAGCCTCCTGAGTAGCTGTGATTACAGGTGCATGTCACCATGCCCCACTAATTTTTATATTTTCAGTAGAGACAGGGTTTCACCATGTTGGCCACATTGGTCTTGAACTCCTGACCTCAAGAGGTCTGCCTGCCTCAGCTGCTCAAAGTGCTGGGATTACAGGTGTGAGCTACTGTGCCTGGCCTATACATAGTTTGTAATCAACAATAATTGAGCTGAGCTAAACTGAATACATGTTAATACAACTAAACCTTTTATAGATCATCTGGAAATTTTACTAAATATCCCAAACACCTAAAGTATTTATTTATATTTTTTAGATGGAGTCCGGTCTTGCTCTGTTGCCCAGGCTGGTCTGGAACTCCTGGCCTCAAGTGATCCTCTCACCTTGGCCTCTAATAGTGCGGGGACTGGAGGTGTGCACCACTGCACCCAGGTAAATTCTTTTATACAATTTGGGTAGCAGCTGGGCGCAGTAGCTCATGCCTGTAATCCCAGCACTTTGGGAGGCCAAGGCCCATGGATCATGAGGCCAGCAGATTGAGATCAGCCTGGCCAACATGGTGAAACCCCATTTCTACTAAAAATACAAAACTTAGCCAGGCGTGCTTGTGCACACCTGTAATCCCAGCTACTCAGGAGGCTGAGGCAGGAAAATTGCTTTAACCTGGGAGGCAGAGGTTGCAGTGAGCCAAGATCAAGCTACTATACTCCAGTACTCCAGCCTGGGTGACAGAGGACAGAGCAAGATTCCATCTCAAAAAAAAAACAAAAAAACAAAAAAAACTTGGTTAGGTAAAACTGTTCTGTTGTGATAAAAAGTAAAAAGATATCTATAACAGGCCTAAGATCTCTATTTCAGTGCAAAGAGAAGAGTCAGGAAGTGAATAAATACTCACAGCCGAAGCTCTTCAAAAGACTTCACCGAGTACAGTGGGGAGTTTGGATCCCGCTGTAGGACTTCCACTTGGTTTGTGTTATCGACAAGGTTGCTTCTGATCAGCTTGTTGAGTAAGGACTGGGCAGCTCTGTCCTCTGTCAGGAAGAAAAAGCAATTTTTTTTTTTTTTTGAGACAGAGTCTCGCTCTCTCGTTAGGCGCCAGGCTGGAGTACAATAGCGCAATCTCAGCTCACTGCAATCTCCACCTCCTGGTTTCAAGCAATTCTCCTGCCTCAGCCTCCCGAGTAGCTGGGACTACAGGCATGTGCCACCACACAGCTAATTTTTGTATTTTTTAGTAGAGATGGGGTTTCACCATGTTGGCCAGGATGGTCTTGATCTCTTGACCTCGTGATCCGCCCACCTTGGCCTCCCAAAGTGCTGGGATTACCAGCTTAAGCCACCGTGCCCGGCAAAAGCGAAGAATTTTAAAAGTCCTTGAAACCTACCCGGTGTTTACTCAAATTCAATTGCCATTTGTGTTTTAAATAATAATGTACTAATCATTGAAATTCAAGGTACATCATAGTTTTGACTTATAAATTAAAATAGTTTGATTTGAAAAAAAAGGTTATGATACTCACACGACCCATTTAAGCCTCATATTCTTCTCCATACTCTAACAGCCTCTTTACCTGCAGTTATCGATTCCTCCTATCCAGACCCACATATTTACTCCCCAGTTTGCACTCTATATAAACCTAAAGTAATTAACATATCACAACAACAACAAAAAAATTAGGAATGAAAGTCTATACCTTAATATTTTATAAGTTGATCTCATCATCCATGTCAAATGTATCAAAACATCATTAAGCTTAATTTTATTGAATAGAGAGGCAACTTAAAATCTCTTTTATAACACCCTGTTCAACTGTTCAGTTTTCAATGTAAAATTTCTTTAAATGTAAACCATTAGAATTCCTTCACCTATTGACTATTTATATTGAATTTTTATGCCTGCACTGTATCTCCTATTAAAGTCAAGCCAAACTGGGTATAAAAACGAAGCTTCATAACAATCCACTTTTTCTTTTCTTTTTCTTTTTTTGTTTGCTTAACCTTCCTTTTACCATTGCATGTAGCAAGTTTCTTGAAGACAACAATCCACTTTCTTAGAATGCAGAAGCTTGTCATATAAAGCTCCATGGCTGTGTTACCTTTCTCTTCTTCATCTGTCTTCTCTGCGTTGGCACTGGGCTTGACAACAGCACCTTTAGCAGACACAAAGTGGCCATCATTCAGAATCACATCCAATACCCAACAGCTGACACAATTCAAATTCTATCACATTAGAAGTTTTTGTAAAGGCCTGGGGAGCAAAAAATAAATGAGGAAACCGAGGCACTGATAAAAAACATTTTATTATCCCTAAATAAACAAAGGTGTAAAACACTGCTGCTCATATTTCTGTAATTTCCTACTCTAGGTCTCCTCCCTGTACCTCAAAAACTAGTATTTCCCTCATTGAATCAGTACTTCCGAAATATTATAGAAAGATTATTAGAGCAATTAGTGATCAGAAAACTACCTTGATGTTCAAAAGAGGAATATCTATGCAAATTGTATTTTATCAATATGTGAACACAATGGTGCCATTCAGATTCATGTAAATAACAAATGAGCACCAAGACCAACAAAAAATACTCACGTATATAAATTTGCTTTTCTTTATTTGAGACAGAGTCTGACTCTTGGCCAGGCTGGAGTGTGGTGGTGCGATCTTGGCTCACTGCAACCTCTGCCTCCTGGATTCAAGAGATTCCACTGTCTCAGTATCCTGAATAGCTAGGATTATAGGTGTGCGCCACCACACTCGACAAATTTTTGTATTTTTAGTAGAGACAGGATTTCACCATGTTGGTCAGGCTGGTTTTGAACCCTTGACCTCAGGTGATCTGCCGACCTCAGCTTCCCAAAGTGCTGGGATTACAGATGTGAGCCACTATACCTGGCCTATAAATTATTCATAAAATCTATAGTCGAATGATACTATGGTTATATAAAATCACATAAAAAAGATTGTAAGTGAATTTTGAGAAAGGCAGATGTTATATTTCCTTCCTGTAATATTAAGTATATCAACATTAATTTAATGGAAATCTCAAAGTTTTGATAAATATGATTTAAGAATAATCTTAAATTATTCTTAACAACGACCTGACAGTTAAGTATCCTTATTGTTTTCACCCCTTCCCTTGCTGTCAGTGTGCAATCCTCATTCTTATATTAAAAACACTTTGAAGCCAGATGTAATAGCTCACTCCTGTAATCCCAACACTTTGGGAGGCTGAGGTGGGAGGACTGCTTGAGCCCAGGAGTTAGAAACCGACCTGGGTAACATAGGGAGATATCATCTCTATAAAAAATCAAAAAGAAAAAATTAGTTGGGATAGTGGGTTGTGCCAGTAGTCCCAGCTACTCAGAAGGCTGAGGCGGAGGATCACTTGAATCTGGGAGGTTGAGGCTCCAGCGAACCATGATATCACTACTACACTCCAGCCTAGGCAACAGAGCAAGACCCTGTCCCTTAAAAAGTAAACAAATAAAAAAAAAATTAAAACACTGTGGTCATATAATCCAGTTTGTTGATTCACAAATCAAATGGTTACCAGTATCTGCCAATGCCCTGCCTAGTACGAATACAGTTTTTTTTCCAGACAGCTGTTGTGCCAAAACAGAAATACTGAAAGAAATCACATTTGTTTTCAAACTAGCTGTTAGTTACTTACCATTGGCATCTGGTTTGATTTTCTCTTCCTTAAGATGCAAGTTGCTCAACTAAATGGAGAATATGGGGGAGGGGGAAAGTGTCAGGAAAACCACTTAAAAGATTTGGTATCAACAGAGCCTTCCTAATCAAGCTGGGAATAAAACAGCCGTTCTCAAGGTATATTCATTAGGACCAATTCATTAGGTTGTTCTGTTTACTAATTGTCTGATGAGAATAAACAACATTTCTCATAAATACATCAGTGGAAAAAAATGCTCCAAATCTGTACCTTCTACTTACAACTCTGGGAGAGAATTATAATTTGTGAGTTTGTTTAATGCCCTGATTATAAACTCTCTGTAGCACATTATTAGAGTTGTCATTCTCTTGTATTTCTTTGGGGTGTGTGTGTAGAAATTGCTCCATTCCAAATCATATTTCAAACAAGGAAATTTAGAGAGATTTTGAAAATGCAGTCATAATTTGGAGAACTGGGAAAGGAGGACTGCAACAAAAAGCATCTGTGAGGCCAGGTGTGGTGGCTAATGCTTGTAATCCCTGCACTTTGGGAGGCCGAGGCAGGCAGATAAGCAGGTCAAGAGATTGAGACCATCCTGGCCATCATGGTGAAACCCTGCTTCTACTAAAAATACTAAAATTAGCTGGGTGTTATGGCACTTGTCTATAGTCCCAGCTACTCGGAAAGCTGAGGGGAGAATTGCTTGAACCCAGGAAGCAGAGGTTGCAGTGAGTCGAGATTGAGCCACTGCACTCCAGCCTGGCAGAGTGAGACTCTTGTCTCAAAAAGAAAAAGAAAAAGAAGAAAAGCATGTGTGGGTAGGCATCAGTCATGCTGCAACTTTCAAGACATAAGACCACAGCGTGCTGATGTGCAGAGTCATATTCAAGTCACCTTTTCCTGGTGTCTGATGTAGTTGGGAATGGCCTGGTGCATTGTGCCACACTGTGTAATCAAAATACCCACTGGGGTGAAGTGAGAATAGAAAGGAAGAGAGAGAGCAAAGAGACATTTCAAAGAATGAATTATTAAGACTTTGATAGAATACTGTACATTAGGGATATCCTAGCAGGTCTTATCTCCCCTATTAGAATGCAAATACCTGGCCGGGTGGCTCATGCCTATAGTCCCAGCACTTTGGGAGACCGAGGCGGGTGGATCACGAGGTCAAGAGATCGAGACCATCCTGGTCAATGAGGTGAAACCCCGTCTCTACTAAAAATACAAAAATTAGCTGGGCACGGTGGCACATGCCTGTAATCCCAGCTACTCAGGAGAGTGAGGCAGGAGAATTGCTTGAACCCAGAAGGCGGAGGTTGCGGTGAGCCGAGATCATGCCATTGCACTCCAGTCTGGGTAACAACAGCGAAACTCTGTCTCAAAAAAAAAAAAAAAAAAGAATGCAAATACCTTCCTGACAGGGGTTCATTTTTTACTGCTCCTTGAGGAGCAGGGCTACCCTACAGGAAATATGCCCAGAGTAGTAGACTATTTTTAGTTTTTGGATGTAGCACAGAGCAAACTAAGTGCTCTGGTCGTAAATTTTTATTTAAAAAAAAAAATTTTTTTTTAAAGGTCAGAAAGCATTCAGAAGTCTTGGATCCCAGAATAGGGATTAGATGGAAACTCTGGCGTGAGTAAGTAACCCTTCAAGCTAAAGCTAACCTAATCACAAAATATCAAGCAAAGGCTAAGACATCATCTAGTTAAAAAAAAAAAAAAGAAAAGAAAGAAAATCACAACCTAACAGTTCTTTCTTTTTTTTCTGCAGACAGGGTCTCGCTCTGTTGCCCAGGTTAGAGTGGTGCAGGGGCATGATCATGGCTCACTGAAGCTTCAGCCTCCTGAGGCTCAGGCAGTTCTCCCACCTCAGCCTCCCAAGTAGCCAGGACTACAGGAGCTCACCACCATGCCTGGCTAATTTTTTTTTCTTTTTTTTTGGGACAGAGTCTTGCTCTGTTGCCAGTGATATGATCTCGGTTCACTGCAATCTCTGCTTCACAGGTTCAAGTGATTCTCCTGTCTCAATCTCGGGAGTAGGTGAGATTACAGGCACATGCCACCATGCCCAGGTAACTTGTATATTTTTAGTAGAGACAGAGTTTCACCATGTTGGCCAGGATGGTCTCCATATCTTGACCTCGTGATTTGCCCACCGCAGCCTCCCAAAGTGCTGGGATTACAGGCATGAGCCACTGCACTTTGCCTGCCCAGCTAATCTTTTATTTATTGTAGAGTAAGAATCTTACTGTGTTGCTCAGGCTGGTGTTGAGCTCCTGGGCTCAAGTGATCCTCCAGCCTCAGCCTCTCAAAGTGCTGGGTTAGAAAAGTGAACCACCGCATCAGGCTGCATTTCTGTTGTCCTTCTAAGTCCAAGACCAGGGGAAAGGGAAAGACAGTAGAGAGGGGAAAACAAAAAAAACGTTTTAATGGGTGGTTTGTTGGGAATGGAGAAGCCCCATTTCTCTTCATGGAAATGGATCGGAAGTTTCTGCTGTCTTTTTGCTTTGGTATTGGGAGAGAGGAAGCAGAAAGGGAGCACAGTAGAGAGATTAGAAAAAAGGAAAGTAACGAAAAGGAAATCATTCAACTGGAGAAGGCCAATTAAAAAAAAAAAAGAAATCATTATAAAGCAGTAAAAATCATTTACTAATTCTGAAGGATAAAGAACACACAATGGGAGAGGGTAGCTGGGGATAGCATGCTGGGCTTAATACCTAGGTGATGGTTTGATAGGTGCAGCAAACCACCATGGCACATGTTTACCTGTGTAACAAACCTGCACGTCCTGCACATCTACCCCAGAACTTAAAAAAAAAGTAAAAAATAAAAAAAAAAAAACAACAAACAACTGGGAGCGGTGGCTCACACCTGTAATCCCAGCAATTTGGAAGGCTGAGACAGGTGGATCACTTGAGGACAGGAGTTCGAGACCAGCCTGACTGACATGGCAAAACACCATCTCTACTAAAAATACAAAAATTAGCTGGGGGTGATGGCACATGCCAGCAATTCTAGCTTCTTGGGAGGCTGAGGCAGGAGAATCGCTTGAACTTGAGAAGTGCAGGTTGCAGTGAGCCAAGATTGTGCCACTGCACTCCAGCCTGGGCAACAAGAGCGAAACTCCACCTCAAAATAAATAAATAAAGGGCTCCTCACATCCTGCCAATTAACCTGGTCTAGTACTCAGGGCTGTTATAAAGACAAAGAGAGGCTGGGCACTGTGGTTCATGCCGCTAATCTCAGCACTTTGGGAGCTGAGGAGGGTGGACTGCTTGAGCTCAGGAGTTTGAGACCAGCCTGGGCAACATGGCAAAACCCCATCTCTACACAAATACAAAAACTAGCCAGTCGAGGTGGCATATACATCTGTAGCCCCAGCTACTTGGGAGGCTGAAGTGGGAAAATTTCTGGAGCCTGGGAAGTCAAGGATGAAGTGAGCATGAAGATGCCACTGCACTCCAGCCTGGATGACAAGACCCTGTGTCAAAAAAACAAAAAACAAAAAAATATACAGGAGTAAAGTTAACAGTACTCATTCCTATGGTAATAATTACTATCTAAAATAAATGACAGAGACCTGAAATTTAAATGAGTTAATGAGGTATAAATTAGTTAGAAATAACCATTACCATAAAGGTTTTCTTTTTTTTTTTTTTTTTGAGACGGAGTTTTGCTCTTGTTGCCCAGCCTAGAGTGTAATGGTGGGGTCTCAGCTCACTGCAACCTCTGCCTCCTAGGTTTAAGTGATTCTCCTGCTACAGCCTCCCAAGTAGCTGGGATTACAGGCATGCACCATCACGCCTGGCTAATTTTATTTTTATTTTATTTTTAGATGGAGGCTCAGTTGCCCAGGCTGGAGTGCAGTGGCACAATATCAGCTCAATGCAACCTCCACCTCCTGCGTTCAAAGTGATTCTCTTGCCTCAGCCTCTCAGTAGCTGGGATTACAGGGTACCCGCCACCATGCCTGGCTAATTTTTTTGGCTTCTTAGTAAAGACAGGGTTTCACCATGTTGGCCAGGCTGGTCTTGAACTTCTGACCTCAGGTGATCCACCAGGCTTGGCCTCCCAAACTGCTAGGATTACAGGCGTGAGCCACCACATCTGGCCCATAAAGTATTTTTAATATTCAACAATAAAAGAACATAAAACAATGAAAGGATCATTTTAAAAAATTATTTTTACTTAATATTTTTTTGAGACTGAGTCTCACTTTGTTGCCCAGGCTGGAGTGTACTGGCATTATCATGGCTCATTGAAGTATCAACTCCGCAGGATCAAGGATCCTCCTGCCTCAGCCTTCCAAGCAGATGGGACTACTGGTATCTGCCACCACACTGGGCTAACATTTCTGTTGTTGATACACTGTTCAACTCAAAGTTAACAGAGTAAAAATGAAATGTATAGGAAAAGGTGGTAGCAACACTGTAAATAAAATAGATGTCCTTTTGATTACAATGTATCAGAATTCTGAAGAGGTTCCTGTAGAATCTTGAAGCTACTCACAGCCTTTACTTGGCTGTAAGGATCTCAAAGCCTACAACACAAAAGCAGCACTAAAGTTTGCATTACCCACCTTGGTGTCAGGGAACTGAGTGCTGAAACTTACGTTGAAAGAGTTAGTTCAGATACCTTTCTTTGCTCTATTTATTTGAACCAAAAGAAAAAAACAATTTTTCTTGCAACTTGATTGGAAATGATTTTGAAATCAAGAAAGCTAATGAAAAGGCAAGACAGACAAATAGACAAAAACCACCACCATTACCAAATTGCCCAAAGCCCTACTTTTATAATAGCCAGAATTTTCAGTGCCTTTAATATTTTAGTTTTTAAGATGTCAAAATAATTGAGAACTATTCAGTTACACTTCATTTTATTCAAAAGCTACTTGAGAACGGATTCTTGAAATATAAGAAAGAAGAGGCTGGGCGTGGTGGCTCACGTCTGTAATCCCAGCACTTTGGGAGGTTGAGGCAGGCGGATCACCTGAGATTGGGAGTTTGAGACTAGCCTGACCAACATGGAGAAATCTCATCTCTACTAAAA